CTTGTTGATTAGGTTCCTGTTAAGGTGAGATCATATGGTATTTGTCTCTCACCATCAGGCTTATTTCACTTAGCATAATGCTCTCCAATTCTGTTCATGCTATTGCAAAGTGTAGGAGCTCCTTCTTTCTTTTTGCTGCATAGAATTTCATCTGGTCAATGTATCATAGTTTTTTGATCCATTCATTTACTGATGGGCACTTAGGTCACCTGCAGCACTTGGCTATTGTAAATTGTGCTGCTATGAGCATTGGGGTGTATAGGTTCTTTTGGATTGCTGTTTCAGCATTCTTAGAGTATAACCCCAGCAGTGGAATACCTGGGTCAAAAGGAAGTTCCTTTTTTCATTTTCTGATGAAATTCCATACTGTTTTCCACAGTAGTTGCACCAGTCTGCAATCCCATCAGCAGTGCACTGGGGTTCCCTTTTCTCCTCAACCTCTCCAACATGTGTTGTGTGTTGCTTTGTTTATGATGGCCATTGTGACTGGTCGAAGTGGCATCTCATTGTGGTTTTAATTTGCATCTCTCTGACAGCTAGCGATACTGAGCATCTTTTCATGTGTCTCTGGACCCTCTGCATGTTCTCCTTGGAGAACTCTGTTCAAGTCCTTTACCCACTTTCTAATTGTGTTGCTTGTCTTCTTAGAGTGGAGTCATGTGAGTTCTGTATATATTTTGGAGATCAAACCCTTGTCAGAGGTATCATTGGCAAATGTTTTTTCATACAGTTGGTTCTCTTTTCATTTTAATGCTGTTTCCCTTAGCCATGCAGAAGCTTTTTATTTTGATCAGATCCCATTTGTTTATTCTTTCCTTTATGTCTCTTGCTGTAGTGGACATATCAGTGAATATATTGCTGTATGGAATATCTGAGATTATCCTTACTGTGTTCTCCTCTAGGATTTTTATGGAGTTGTGACATGCATTTAAGTCTTTTATCCATCTTGAGTTTATTGGTGTGTGAGTTGGTATTGAGTTTCATTTTGTTACATGTAGCTGTCCAGATATCACAACACTATTTTTAAGAGATTATTTTTACTTCATTGTATGCTTCTGCTCCTTTGTGAAATGTTAGTTGACCATAGAAACATGGGTTTATTTCTGGGCTCTCTATTTTGTCGCATTGGTCTATGTGTCTGTTCTTATGCAAGTGCCAGAATGTTTTGATTACAGTGGCCTTGTAATGTAGGTTGGTATTAGGTATTGTGATTCCTCCTACTTTGTTTTCATTCTCAAAATTGCTGAAGCTATGGAGGGTCATTTCTGGTTGCATATACATTTTTGAAATGTTTGTTCTATACCTGTGAAATATGTCACTGGTATTTTAATAGGGATTGTGTTGAATCTATACATTGATTGACACCAAAACTATAGCTCACATAACACTTACCACAGAATCATTGGTATCTGACCCCAGATCAAAGCACTCTGCTCCTTCCTTAGGTTTATGTGTTAGCAGCAATTCTAAGTACAGCCTGTGGTTTGGAGACCACAGGTAATGTTTGTGAATTCTTGGTGTCATTACCATGCTTTCTGTGATGGTGCATTTCACTGTCTTTTATTATTCCATCAAAAGCACAAACAGAATCCATTCTTTCATTTTCACAATATGAAAAGAGTGACATGAACATGTATGAAGATCATAGTTGAACTCAAACATGACAAAAAATAAGCACAATTCAGAGGGCAAGGCACACCCACTGTGCAGTATGAACTCTTCCCACGACTGAGCCCCAGTTCACATCTTGATGCTTTTCCCTAGAGGCCTGGTCCTGACCCAGCTCTGGTTCTGTTTTACTCTGACCCCTCCCGCCCTCTGATATCCATGCAGATGATCCCACTCCTTCGTCCCCGGACTCAGGAGCCAAGATACAGAAAAGCGTACCTGCTGTGCTCATTTGCGGCACTGCTGCCCACAGACCTCACTTTCATTGCAAGTGCATGTGTCCTTCAAGAAAAATTTTAAGTAGCAGTTGTCCTTCCTTCTTTCTTTTTTTCCTTTATTCTTTCCTTTTGTTTTTGTGATTACTACAGTCACCAATATTACTATTGATATTATTAATTTATTTTTATTTTGTGAAAACCCTTTTAATTTCAGCAAAAGAATCTCCCTAGACCATTGAACACTAACAATATTTCTCTAAAGTAGAATTATTAAATCCAAAGCCCCTTTGCAGAACAAACACAAAGCATCTCTTTTCACAATATATTCCCCCCACCAGTTTTCTTACATTTCTTTTTTCCTATTTGAATTCTCACCCCGCTATTCACCTATTTCCCTCCTTTAAGTGTTTCTTCTAGTGATTTGTTTTTCTGTTGCTACATTATAATTTTTCTCACAATTTTTTCTTTCTTTTTCTTTAATTTTCAACTATCATTTATACTTAAGATTATTCTGCTGTAGTTTGTGATGTACAGCAAAGTGGTTAGACAATCATGTACTTGACAGAGTGGTCCTTTCAGCTTCATGTACCCACCTGACCCTGTAAATATTTACCTCAGTGTCATTGACTGAGGTCTGTCTGGAAAAAGTCCAGCCACTGTTACTATAACAAGAATGGTTTACGACATTGATGTAACCTGGCAGCCAAGTAGAGTGGACTGGAAGGTGCATGTGTGAATAATGATGACTTCACTGCACTAGTCAGTTGGCATTGTAGACACTATTGAGTGAGCATGTGTTCTGAGTGGCCAATTCATTAAAAAATGACTGAGTAGAGCAATGAATTTGCATCAAATTTTGCTTTAAATTTGAACATTCCTCTCCAAAAACTACTCAGATGACTCAGAAGGCTTTTGGGGAGGATGCAATGACTGTTGCACAAAGCAAAGTGAGGCACAAAGGATTCAAAGATGGTTGAGAATCTGTTGAAAGTGACCTATGTTCTGAGAGGCCTGCAACAAGCACAGCACCTGAAATGTTGAATGTGTTTGAGCTGCAATCAACAAAGATTGGCGACTGACAGTGCAAGAACTAGGAGCTGACTTGGGGATTCCAAAAACTACTGCATCTAGATTTTGACACAAGATCTTGGCATGAAATATGTTGTGGTAAAAGTTGTTGCAAGGCTTCTGCTACCAAAATAAAAGGAACATCGTGCTGCAGTTGCTGATGACTTGATTCAAACCACTACCAATGAACCAGATGTCCTCAAGAAAAGCATAACCAGAAATGAATCATGGGTCATGATCCAGAAACAAAAGACCAGTCATCCGAATGGAAGTCACTTGGTTCTCCATGGTCCAAGAAGGAGCAGAAAAGTTGCAGCAATATCAAGACCATGTGAACTTTGTTTTTTGATTTTGAAAGCATTCTGCATCATGCGTATACCTCTCCAGGCCAAACAATGAATAAATAGTACTGCATCAAAATTCTTCATTGGTTGAGAGATGCAATATGATCAAAATGGCTACCTGGTGATTGGGAACTGGTGATTGGCAGCTTCATCACAAGATGATTCCTGTTCATGCATCACATGTCATGCAGAGTTTTTTGCATAACATCTAATCACCCATGTGACTCAGCCTCACCACCCAGATTTGTCACCTTGCAACTTCTGGCTTTCCCAAAACTAAAATCACCTATGAAAAGGAAGAGGTTTCAGACCATTGATGAGACCTAGGAAAATATGAGGGGACAGCTGATGGACACTGGGAGAATTGTGTGAAGTTCCAAGGTGCCTACTTTGAGGAGGATTGAGACATCATTGTCCTACCTACAATGTTTCTTGTATCTTGTATCTTTGTCAATAAATGTCTCTGTTTTTAAATTTTACATGGATGGATACTTTCTGAACAGACCTTATAGTTCCTGTGCTGTAATCTACTTTTCTTGGCTATCCTGTAACTACCAATTTGTAGTGGTTAATCCTTCACTTTTTCCACCCATTCCTCCAACCTCTCTCTCCTCTGACAACTGTCAGTCTGTTCTCTGCGTCTATGAATCTGTTTCTACTTTGTTTGTTACCTTATTTTGTTCATTAGATTCCAGATAAAAGTGAAATCATATGGTACTTGTCTTTCTCTGATTGGCTTATTTCACTTGGCATAATATCCTTGATGCCCATCCATCTGCTGCAAAAGGTAAGATTTGTTTGTCTTTAATGGCCAAGTGGTATTCCATTGTGTAAACTACCACAACTTTTTTATCCATTCACTTACTGATAAGCACTTTGGTTGCTTCCAAAACTTGGCTGTTTAAGTAACTCTGAAATAAACATAGAGGTGCATATATTTATTCAAATTAGCATTTTAGTTTTCTCCAATTATATTTCCAGAAGTGGAATTGTTGGGTCTTAAGGCAGTTCCACTTTTATATTTTAAAAATATTTTTCAATTTCTAAAAATGTTAATATATTTTTCATTGAATTTATTGGAGTGACATTGTTTAAGAAAATTATATAGGTTTCAGGGTTCAGCTCTATACTGCATCATCTGTGAACTGGATTGTGTGTTCATCACCCCATGTTATATCTCCTTTCATCAACATTTATTCTTTCTTTATCATGCAGTTCTATTTTTAAGTTTTTGTAAGCTAGATTTTAAAAAGATTTTATTTATTTACTTTTTTAGGAGAGGGGAAGGGAGTGAGAGAGGCAGTGAAAGAAGCATTGAAGCAAATGACAAATGTGGATCAGTTGGCTGCTTCTTTTACATGTCCCAACCAGGGATGGAACCTACAGCCCAGGCATGGGCCCTGACAGGGAGTCTATCTGGAGACTGTTCAGTCTATGGGATGATACCCAACTAGATGAGACATGGTGGTCAGGGCTCCGTCTTTACATTTTTTATTAACTCCATACTGCTTCCCACAGCAGCTGCACCAACCTGCATTCCCACTCATCATGCAGGAGGGTTTCCTTTTCTCCTCATCTTAGCAAACAACTGTTTGTTGATTTATTGATGATAACCATTCTGGCAAGAAAAGCAAACACATGTTCATCATATCTTTTTTAATATTGAGGCATAGAACATACCTCTCAATTTTTTAATTCATTTTTAAGTGTAAAAAGATACTTTATTGAAAAACCCATTTTTCCCAAACACTCTTTTCATTGCCTCTTTCACGTCTTTGTTCCTCAGACTGTAGATGAGGGGATTCAGCATGGGAATCACAATGGTGTAAAATGTTGACACTATCATGTTATGGTCCAAAGCATAGCTGGAGCTTGGTCTCACATACATGAAGAGGATAGTTCCATGATAAATTGACACTCCAGTTAGGTGAGAGCCACATGTAGAAAAGACTTTTTTCCGCCCCTCAGCAGAACGCATCCTCAGAATGGCCAACAGAATTAAACCATAGGAGATCAGGACAATCAGGATAGTGACAATCTCAATGGAGCCCACCAAGTAGAAGAGTAGAAGCTGGTTTGTGTGAGTGTCAGAACACGCAATAGCAAGGAGAGGAGGGATGTCACAAAACACATGTCTGATTTCATTGGAGGCACAGAAGGGTAGCCTAAATGTGGCCGCTGTGTGTATAGAGGCATGCAGAATGCCTCCGATGTAGGAAGCAATGATGAGTGACACATAGATGCTGGGTGACATGCTAACTGTATACAGGAGAGGGTTGTAGATTGCCACATAGCGATCATAAGCCATTGCAGCCAAGAGGAAGCACTCGGTGGTCCCAAATGTAACAAGGAAAAACATTTGCGCTGTACACCCAAAATAAGAAATGGCTTTGTTTTCATTCAGGAAATTGACCAACATTTTGGGTGTAACAACTGAAGAATAACAGGCATCCAAAATGGACAACACACTCAGAAAATAGTACATAGGGTTGTGCAGCCGAGAGTCCATAGTGACCAATATGACCATTCCCAAATTTCCTATCAGAGTGAAAAGATAGATAGCCAGAAATAGTAAAAACAGAAGGACTTGCACCTCAAAGCTACCTGTGAATCCTGTCAATATAAACATAGTGATTTCAGTCACATTTTTAATCTGAATCTTGTGTAAATCAAAATTTGAAGTCAACTGTGACATTTTATTTTTATTTATAGCTTTTAAAGCAGTATTGTTAAAAATAACATCTACTGTATTTTATCCCCTTGAATTTTTTCTTAAGGGCTTACAAAATCCTTGGTGGTGAGGGAATTACCAGTGATGAAGAAGCTGGGGACAATGAATGCATTTCCCTGTTAAATTAAAGAAATTTTGGTTAAATGATTGGCTAAATTAGTCATATTTTTAAAAATCTCAACCTATGTGCTTTAATATCCAATTTATTTTCTTTCAAATTTACTTTCACCTAGTTTCATATCCCATCATTTTAACATTCACAAAGATGAACAAATACAGAAGTTTTAATCCAAAATTCTAATAGAAAGGATACATCTGAATACGAATTGTAGATTTCCTACATTGTGTGTGAGATGCCTTTCCTTACCATTTACAATTGTTAAAAGGAAAGCAATTGCATTTATATGACAAGATTGTGTATAAAATGGAATTGTATTTAAATGAGAAAAATGTAAAATTATTTTGGATTATTCACAGATGACTAGAAAATAAGCTACATTAGACTTACACTTCAACTTGTCATGTTGGGCCAGCCTTTTCCCGCCAAACCATGTATATCTTCTTTTGACTGGAATCCATTCCACTAGTATTTCCTGACAGTGGGGGAGGCACCTTGTACACAAGTCATAATAGAACGTTGGTTTGGTTTGGTTGTTCAGTTTTCTTTCCTGGTACACCTATCACCAAGTTGTGCATTTAGGACTGCACGGTGTATTATATTGTCAATAGTTTTCTCATTTAAGTTAATGCCACTGTACGGTATTTTTCTATTGATATACTCACTGGTCTTGTAAAATGCTTGGGTGCACTTTTAAGACTTCTGTATGTCACAAATAAATCATGACAGATTCAATATATTACAGTTTCTTAAGGAGTCACTAAAATTATTATAAAGCAAAAACTACCCAATAATAGCTTATAACATTTATAAAAGCTAGTGTTATAAAAGCAAAATTACAACAAGAGCCACAAGGTAGTGTTTTATTTCTAGCATGTTTCTCTTTGCCTCTACACCATTTCTCATTCAGCAAAATGTGAAAAAGAAGACAGTACATAAAAAAAGGGAAGCGTACCTGTACCTGGGCTGAATTCTTCACAGTTTAAACACAATGAAAGGCAGCATCTACCACATCTAGGAGCAAGATTTCGGGAGTGTGGCTCTTGTTTCCCTTCAGCGTGTCACACATGGAAGGAGTGAAAAACCGCAGTGTATGGGCCCAGGGACATACCAGTGACTTACACATGTGACCGGGAACACTCATTTTTGTCAATGCTCACTCATCAAGAAGAAAATGAGACAATCTGCATATTTTTATTTTCCAGAAAGGTCTTCCCATATCCATGTGAAATACTTTAAATGGAAGACTAAATAGCTTTTTAAATGTGGGGATACAAATCGCTGCCCCCCCTACACAAAATGCTCATTTAATCCTTAGAGATTCTAAAGTAAAAAAATACAATTAAACTAAATTTCAACTTCTGTGTAAATACAGACAACTATACTCTTGAGAACACAAACACACAGATGTCTTATAGTAATTTGCAGTTTACTTTGAATAGATTAACAAAGTAAGATAAAATTAATGAATAATATAATTATGTATTAGTGTATTATTTGGGCATTACAACAAATTTATTGCTGTTTAACAAAATTTCTTGTTCCCTCCCTCTCTTTCACCCATGTTTGCCCGGACAGATTCAGGGACAAAACAGGCATTAGGCAGATCAGAAGAAGCACAGTGAAAACAACAAAAAGTGTGCAAGCAACTTTAGAAAATGTATCAATGTGTAGTCTACAAAAGGTATCCATTACAAAATACACATTGACTGTTACACACAGGAGAAATTTCAGCAATAGCACAGCTCTAACCTTTACTTAATGATGTGTCTGAGATGATGCAATTGTGTAAGATTAAGAACATTATGTTTGTAGTCTAAAACCTTGTATTAAAAATTTCCGATTAGCATCTAGTGACAGTTTAACCTTGAAAAAGTTACCTTATTTCCCCAAACTGGAGAATCACTAAGATTCATCAAATTTTCAGGCATATCTTGTTCAACAACATGAACATGGTGTGATTCCGGAGTGCTTATTTATGAGATGCATTACAATGCATATTGAAGTGTGTTTATTTTATGTGAGGATACATCCATATAAAACATGGCTTCCAAATTTCATTTAACTACAACTTGTGAAGAGGGAGTTATGGAATTAGTTTTTCTTCAAAGCCTTGTGCAGTGACTGATCACCAGACCAGAAGCTAAGTATTCTTCTTTTAGTTATACATGTGCTTTTCAATATGGTACTTAAGATATATTTAAATAGCTTTCTCATGAGATTATATCCAGTGAGACCCAATATTTTATGGTATCAAGACTCTTAAAAAGATAGAACTTTAAAATACATTTCTGTCATTGTATTTTGACTCTAAGCAGAACAGTAAAAGAACAACATATTTGCTTACATTCTTCTGATAATTGTGAGCATAATAATATTCTCATAACTCTCGATTTCTCTGAGTTTATCTGTAGGGCAAGGTAGTGGTTTATGAATGAAGGTATATTTTAATCTGAATTATGTTCCATTAGAGCAAATAGCTTCCTCACTGTAGGGAACGGGAGGGATGATAGACAAGATGTGTGAGGTTCATCTACTTCATTGAGGATACTCTTCAAACAGGCATTTTGTCAACTAATGTTTAAGGACATTAGAACTGATTGTGTTTACATCTAACTAATTTCACTGGAAGGGATAGACATTAGAGAGACATAGATTAGATTTCAAAGTTTATCAAAAACACGATCATTCTGGAAAACTAAAGTCGAATGAGCTCCTCACCCCTCACCCAGTCAGAAAGGAAATGTCACCATCCAGCCCTGAGAAAGGTGGTACAAACACTAAGCTTGAGACAAAGCCGAACTATCATAGCAGCTACAACACGTCATGAAGTGGCTGCTGGGTGTTAGAATTTTCGTGCGCATTACCTTAGGTTTTGTACACAGCAACCTGCAAACTAATTCAAAACCCTTTTATAGATGAGAAAACTGGGAACCAGCTTGACCTATAACTTGATCATGCTCACAGTTACTAGCACAGCCAGGATTCAAGTCCAGGGGTTTCTGTGTTCCAACTAAACTCTTTTCAGTTGACCATAAAATGGTCTCATTGTGAAATGCTGCAAATTTGGAACGTTATCCCCCAGAAACAATGCAAAATAACATCCTCTTGTATCTGAATTCATTTACAAAACCACAAGTTCAAGTAAACTGTTATATATTTCTTCAAAAAACCAAATTAAAGTGGCTTCCAGATCAATTAGCAACCTAACAAAATGAGTTTTAAATTCATTTATGTCCTTTTTTGAGCACCAATATGATTTCACAATGTTATATACCCAATGGTTATTTGATAGGTAATTTTTCATTTACTAATTTTCATAAATTTAAAAAATAGTCCCTTATTTCTATTACCTTAATTCTGTTATCTTCCATCAAGAAAAGTAAATAGGATTTCTAATTTACAAATTTATTGACATAATGTATTGTGCTTTTCTTAGTCTCCCTGATATTTCCCTAAATTTGGTCCTTCAATTTTAAATTCAGCCCTAAGTTAACTAGGAATTTCCACCTCAGACTTACATATTAAAGCAGATAATCTACTTTGAGATTCAGGATTGTAACACCTGGCTTTTTTAGATGATGGAAAACCCTTCCTCTTACCTGTGGGCATGAACTGCTCACTCAGTGAGGATGTGCTATGAGCACGAAGCATTTGGGCTCTTCTTATGCCAGGTTCTCAAGCTCTTCTTGAAGTCCACAGGGACACTCCACAAAGAAAAGACACTAATTCTCCTCTGGGACAGAAAATGTATCAAGATGACTTTGTTGTGTTACCCAGTAAACAAGAGGATAATTGTGGAACAATAAGCAATATGATCAAAATGATTACATAAATGCACGTTGGACTGTAGTATAAAGTGATATTTCACTGGGAAAAAATTTTGAGCAAGACTGGAAAAGAAATTGAATAACATAGAACAAAGATCTCTAGCTCTGATATACAATAGCTCTGTGCCATGGGTTGATAACTTAAATTCTCTGAAATTCAGTTTCCTCTGGGAATATAACCTCTTTACTGGTCTCAGAATACTCTAACCAAGTACATAATGAAATAACCTGAAAACATAGGCTATAAATGAATTCACAGTGATTTAATAAAAATTACCGTGCTTTTTAAATTAATGGACTACACTTCTAAGTGGTAGGAGACATACAGTTAAGATGATTGGCATTTAGTAGAGGAGAGAAGATATGAATACCCGAACCAGGATTATTGGCAGCAGAGATGGGACAGTGTACAGATAATGGTAGCATTCTGTTTAATAGAACATTAGAATATAGAGATCAGGCAGAGACAAAGATCAAAATTTGAGTTGCATGAGGACTTCTCTTAAGGACCCAATGCACCAATCTACAGACTAGCACAAGGCTATACACTTTTTAAAATTAAATGTATTGGGGTGACATTAGTTAATGAAATTAGGTAGGTTGCATGAATATAATTCTATGATACATCATCTGCATATTGAATTGTGTGCTCACCACCCAACACCAAATATTCTTCTGTGACCATATATTTGACCCCTTTTCCCTTTAACACACCATCCCCCTTTAAGTTGGTAACTGCCATACTGTTGCTGTATCTGTGAGTTTTTGTTTTTCTAAATTGTTTGTTTATTGTTTTCAGTGTTATATTCTACGTGAGTGAAATCATATGGTCCTTGACTTTTTCTGTTTGACTTATTTTGCTCAGCATGGTATCCTCAAGATCCTTCATATTGACACAAATAGCAGGGTCATGTCCTTTCTCCTGTCGGAGTAGTACCCCATTGTACCGATGTACCACACCTTCTCATCCAATCACCTGTCAAAGGACACTTCGGTTCTTATGATGATTTGGCTAC